CGACTCTTCACGAATTCAAAGGAGTTGTGGCACTTCCATTTCAACAGGGTGATGCGCCGGCTGTCTTCAGCGAGTCTTCGGAAGACGCGGAGATGTCACAGGACAACTTCGAGGGCGAAATAGATGATCTAGATGAGCAAGAAGCCGCATTAGCGTCCGCCTTTTCCGCAAATAAAGGAGAACAAGATGATGATAATAACGAAACGGGAGAGCCTTTCGGTTCTGCCAAATTCAACAGCATGAAAACTGCATCTGCTAAGAGGAAGAAGAAGGTGAACGGCTCTGAGGAGAGCGAACAACAAGACGATCAAAATCAGCAGGATGGGGGAGAAAAGCAAGAAAAGAAGGCTTCTCATAATTCAGGCAAGGGATGCTTTGCCCTCGCTGAAAATCGCTCACGAACAAGTCAATGCAGGCGCCAAGGAAAATCCAGAGTCGGCGGGCTCCATTGAGGCTACGGAGCAAGAGGCAGAGCAGGCCAAAAACCTGCAGCAGGCTCAGGGAATGCCCCCGCAGCAATCATTTCACCAGGTCAACTCGCGCTACGGAGCGAATGGCACGCGGTTGTCCAATCCACATCACAGCAACGAAATTCACACTGCAATTGAGGCTGCTCGGTTGCGTCTCACTCCACCAAGGAAGACAATAGTAACCACTAGCTTGCTCGACCAAGAGGGCTTTGCAGGAGACCCTGGCACGTCCGAGTTTATTAATGACGAAGAGAAGCGCACAGATAATTCTGAGCTTGCAGGAACCCCAAACACCGAAGGAATGGCGAGTAGGGAAGACGCCCTTGCCACCGATGAAGTAGAGGCAGCAGGCGAAATCTCGGCAGCTGAGAAAGAAGCAGCAAGAGCGCAAGCCTCACTAAAGGAAGAGAACAGACTTCTCGCCGCGGCTGAGGAGGCTGAACAGGCGCAAAGGGCGCTTAAAATATGTGCGCAGGGATCCTTCCTCAGCTGCCGGCAAGGGCAAATACGACGCCCTATTGAGGAACCTCACGCAAGAGTTATTTCCGGAATCCCACGCTCTTGCGTGGGATTCCGGAAATAACTCTTCATTTCCCCTCAACCGGATCTGCTAGGTTCTCGTTGCGGGGAAAGGAATAGTGAAGGAACCAAGAACCGACGGCAGCTCTACGTTAATAGGATAGCGTTGCCAAGCGCACCTCAGACGCGCGTCGCAAGACAACTTCTATGCTCGTGGGCATGGCCCTCAGCAACTCCCTATGGTACATCAGGAAATTGGTGGGAGTGTTCCTCTGTTAATTCTTAAATGGCGCTGCAACGCCTGAAAAAGTCCAGTGACATGTTAAAGCTGCTACTTTCGTTACACTAACCTTCTAACTTGGGCTAGACAGGCCTGTTAAGTCCGACGCACGACGGCGCAGTCCTGATGCAGACTAGCGTAGTGCGCGGAACTCAACTGTGCTTCTGGGCTGCTAGTCGTCAATACACCGGTTAGAAATGCCGCATATCGGCTCAAACAATGCCATCCGCGTTCGTTTTGCAGCAAAACCCTAGCAACAGCTAGGCCCGGGAGACCGGCCTGCGTGCCGGAGCGGCTGAGGGAAAATGCTACCGATCAAGGGGACTGAGCATTCGGACCTCTCCTGCGGTTAACAGTCGTGGTAAATCTGCGGTTGTATAGCTGACGCTTCTTTGCCCGGCCAGTAACCGGCTTCTTCTTCTCCTGCTTCTGCACCTTGGGGGTTTGGTTCTTGACCTTACCCGCACGGGCGAGAGAGCCGTGGACCTTCCCTGCATAGAGCACCGTACAAAGGATGAGAATAACAGCTCACTTCCCTCGAGATGCGCATACCATAAAATGAAATGTCACGTCCGGTGAATGGCTGCCTCAGGCACACCGCAACCAGTAAATATTCGGAAAAACTAGGCGTAATTCCAAAAGTGTAAGATGGCAAAACCAACAGAAGGAGCTTTGGCTCATCCACGAGCTAGATATGCCAGGGACCCTAAGGTGTGGGGTGCTCCAAGATCTGCCTGGTGAGCCCGTTTCTCCCCATCCGCGGCAGCCCCCCTATCCCCATCCCCGCCCCCACAATTGCAAACCAGATATTCTATAGTAAAGTAAGTAAATGCAGGCCGCAATTAACCCCCTACCAACGGGATCCCCGGCAAAGACGCAGCAAGAGCATGCATCCGCAAACCCCCAACCCGCCGCACCCAGCAACGAGCGCGCAGCATCAACTCACCCATTTTCGATTGGCGTACAAAGGATGAGAATAACAGCTCACTTCCCTCGAGATGCGCATACCATAAAATGAAACGTCACATCCGGTGAATGGCTGCCTCAGGCACACCGCGACCAGTAAACATTCGGAAAAACTACGCGTAATTCCAAAAGTGTAAGATGGCAAAACCAACAGAAGGAGCTTTGGCTCATCCACGAGCTAGATATGCCAGGGACCCTAAGGTGTGGGGTGCTCCAAGATCTGCCTGGTGAGCCCGTTTCTCCCCATCCGCGGCAGCCCCCCTATCCCCATCCCCGCCCCCACAATTGCAAACCAGATATTCTATAGTAAAGTAAGTAAATGCAGGCCGCAATTAACCCCCTACCAACCGGGATCCCCGGCAAAGACGCAGCAAGAGCATGCATCCGCAAACCCCCAACCCGCCGCACTCAGCAACGAGCGCGCAGCATCAACTCACCCATTTTCGATTGCTTGGACTACAAGTGGTACTGATTCACAGGGTGGAGAGAAAATCCAAAAACGAACACTGGCAATAAATAAGAAGGCATGGAAGCACGTCTGCGGTGCAGCAGCATGCCAAACCTGCAAATCAGCACGCTTGCTTGGGGGCTGGCAGCAGCCCCATGTACAGTTTCAAAATTTACACACGATTCGAAGAGCAGTTTCCCGCATATCTACATTGGCGTGCTGAGCAACTTGTCTGCCTTTATTCCTTGGTTCAAATGCATGGCACGACAGATTATTGTTGGATTCATGTGTCCCTGTACTTTGCATAGGGTGCTCTTCGATGCTGTATGATGTACCGCGGCGTTCTCTCCACTAGTTTCAGTACTTCTGTAGATTCGGCTCTTCATCGTGTTGCTTTTGTATCTGAATGCGGTATTCCTGTCCTTTTTGTCAGTGGAGCACTCTTGATCTGAATGTGATGCACCTTTCTTTTCAGTGGAGCACGCTTGACGACCGGCTCTGTAGCTTCATCGGGTTTGTGCAAACCGGGAGTAGCTTGGTGTGGGGTAATCTGCCCGTCAGTGGTACATTTACTTGTGCTTGCGCACTCGGTGGCAGTTCAGGGCCAAGCAAATGTTCAACAACTGTCACCGGCGCTGAGGCAAGTAGTGAACTGGTGCTTGGTTACATCTGCACGTGGCCTTGCTGCAGAAGTGAAAGGAAGGTGCGTTGCAAACTACATCTTATAGCTTGTTATCCGCGCCATGCGTCGCTGTACCGAGACGCCGAAAGAGTGTACGGATGATGAGTGTCAAAAACTTCGGAGTTCCCCAATGCAGTTGCATTGGGGAACTCCGAAGTTTTTGACACTATTGAGGCTCACGAAGGTCCACTGATACAACTGAGAACCCTGGTTATAGCCCGGGAGAGAAGGTGGCATGCTATGAATTGCAGCGCAGCTTGCGTCAACTCCTCTCCTGAGGAGAAATTCCACATGCAAGTGATCTACCCACCTTTTCGTGCACGCAGTAACGCAGTAGACGCATGTTAAAAACTTTTGTGCCCTCAGTAATCAATACGCACTCAAATGGGAATATGGGTGCCAACATCTGGTAAACGATGCTGCATCTGCTCCCTCCTACTATTCTACCCAAGTTGAACATTTTCACCCGTGCATGGGCGCCGAGCAAGGGATGCGCTGAACGAGTTGAAGATTCTTGCCGACCATGCTGCTGATTAGTGCCTTTTGCTTGTGCTGCTCGACCAACCTCCTACAGTATCTCTTGCAGGGGGAATTTTTGTGTCTCGGGCTGCAGTGTCTGCTGCTGCTGCTCGTCCTGCTGCTCCAACTGCCTTTGCTGGGGCTGCTGGTGTTAATGTGATTGCATGCGCTGCCATTGGTATTGTTGCTGCTGCAGCTGTTATTGGCAACATTATTCTTGATGGTTTTGTTTTCGTTATTTCTGGAGCGGGTGCTGCCGCTGCAAAACGTACAATTAGATTATTAAGCCTCTGCATCGGGCCGCAACTGAATCTCTCCCGCATGTGAAACTGCGGCTTAGGCTCCTGCACCTGCAGAAGGTGCAGTAGCCATCTTTCGCAGTCGTTGTGTTTGCTGTAGTTGCATCCGTTGGCGTTGCTGCTTCTGTTGACCGTATGGGTCTGCGGCAGCCTGGCCCTTCAACAGGCCACTGCGGAATGTTATGGCTTGTCCCTGGGTTGGCAACTGGCTTGTAATGCAAGGGTTACAACCTAGTAATCACCGGAACCTCTTCCGGAGAGCTGTACCATACCGAACGTGAGGCATGGGTCCCGCTAGACTGAAAAGAGTTGCACAACCCAAAAATCGAACAAAAAGTGTCGTCGGCCGCTGCGCCGACCTAGCCATATGCAGCCAGTGGAGCGAGGGTTGGGGCCCAGCTCACAGCTGGAAAATAATTGGCGTCGGAGAGCAGGTGAATACTACGAAGTGGTCCCTCCTACCTGTGTGACAAAGCAACTGTCAACAACAAGTTGCACGCCGTCACAGTTTAGGCTGCGCTGTAAACCCCGTTCCGCGTATTTTCGCGCCCGTGTGTCAAGGACTTTTACGTTCCTGAATACTTCACTTGCAAAGACAGCACTCAGAAACCCACTCGTTTGGTCGGTATATAGGCTATTTAACGTAATACTCTCGCCCTGTGTGACGTCACTGCGTCGTTCCACGCGTGCAGGGCCCTCGTCCCCCCCAGTTGCCCCGCAACGATGTTGCCGCCGATTTGCGGGGCGAATTTGACGAAATTCCTGTTATTTCCTGGTTCGTTTTAGAAAACCGACATTACTGGTGAGCGTATATCATGTTAGAGGCAGGTGCAGTGCAACTAGCCCTGTTTGGCACCTACAATGACTGTAGGGTGTCTGTGGTGCGCAGGGACTACAATGGTACTCTACGTGGGCCTCTAGAGGTCCATCCGGCTGAAAGAGTGCATATAAAATCTTTATAGAAACAAATTATGTCACTTTTGAGAGGCAATAAGGCCATCAGACTGAGAGAATTCGGCAGCAACCCACGTTCTGGGGCTGGTTGTGAGGCATTGTAACCGTGCCGCAAATAGTAGACCTGTCCCGCTGATCCGCTTGGGGATCAGAGGGCAGACAGATCGACTATCACTCTTCCTCCTTGAGGAGGATTGGACGCCGGATACGAATAAGAGGATGGTCTTTGATATTTTTAGCGCATTTCAAGGGTTATGCGCTGAGTGTAGCGTGCATGTGTGGAGCGTGTGCCGAAAGTGGCCTGCCTAGGGCCGATAAGTGGTGGCAGCCGTGAGCACTGTTCACTACACTGGCGGTTCTGCGTGCTGCAACTCACACTAAGCCCTTAATTATCACATAGTCTCCAGATTTAAATTAAGCGTTGAATTTAACTGGCCCATAGAAGGAGAAGTTTCCCCTTCTTCCCAGCGCCGGATGGGCCTTGGCGGTCCAGGCCCCAAGCTTGACAGCGCCTGGCCTGAGTCCTTAAAGGCTCGGCGCAGGAGCGGTCAGCGTTGTCAGCACTCTCCGGAGCATTGAGTGAGTCCAACCCCCATTTGGGCCCGTCTCGGGTCTTTTGGGCTACTCAGCCGAATAGCGCAGGTGACCCTAGCGCTATTAGCCGCTGATTCGGTCTTTACCCAGTGGACCGCCAGATCAGTTCCGCCAAATTAGTGTTATGTTTAGGCAGTCTTGCCTTTTTTCAGTGCCAGGCACTACTGGCGGCCTGTATTGAGGCGGAAGAAACCTTGCTGCAACTCTTGCTGTATTGTAACCCAACATGATGGAGGGCGAAAAGCCACTGTTGCAACAACACTATAGGAAATTGTTGAACGCATTACTTTGCCCTATGTAGCCAGTGTGCACACCAGCAGAAGTATCTGTACAGAATGCAGACACACCTTATTGGCAGATTTCCATTTTCTTGCAAGGTGGGACAAGGATGGGTTTACCAATTGCTTACGGTGTTTGTGCATGTTTGTGCATGCAACAGAGCCGTAATGATTCTGCTTGCATGATTTCTTTGCAGCGGTTGTTGCAGAAAGCTGTGCTGCCACCTATGGCTGGCCCGCTCGTCTTCGTTCCAGGCAAACGCACCTGGGCCACACTTCGCAAGACCCCTGAAGGAGGCTGTTGAAGGGAGGGTTCGTTGCTTTTTGGGAGCCCTAATCTTGGATATCTTGCCCATTTTTCATCTCACGACGATCCTCTGCTAAGTTAGATTAACCTAGTTACACGTGAAGCCTAAGTTACTGCTAGCGGTGCTCTGCCTTTCGAGCCCTCCCCTTCTCTACGACAGCCCAATCCCGGTGAGCCGCTGTATGCTGAATTCCTATAGACTAGCTGTGTGATATAATGCTTGGGTTTTGCACTTATTTCAGTATTTCGACTCTTGCTGCTCATGACGCTCTACGGTTAAGGCAGAGTACGCTGCTTACTGTTTCACTACCCTCTTTTTATAGCAATGTTAAAGGAAGGTGGACGCATACCTATTTGCGTGCGAATTTTGTATTGAAAATTGATCAGCTGCTTAACAATTGTGTAGGCTGTTACAGCACCCAACGATGGCGGGCATGGGTATCCGTGAATGCGGAGTTGCCGTCCGTCGGGAGTTGCAGGAAAAACGTTGCAACCCAGGAGGGGATCGTCAACTCCCCGCCAATCAGAAGCACTTTTTCTGTCGCTGCTCATGACTTCCGCAGGCAAAGGAGGATGTCGGACGCTTCGTGGGGAAGCATTATAACAGGGTTTTCGAATGTTGAACCCTACGGGATCCACATGCTAAATCGAAGGAACACTTGCTAAACTTAGAGCACCACCTGGTTAGCAAGGGCGCTAGTGAGATGTGAAGTTAACTCCAAAGCTGGAAAAGCTGGTGTATAACGCTGTCAACTTTTAAGGTCCCGGCCCTGGTCCATGCATCGTTCATACTGCCGCGTGGAAATCTCCGGCGATAGTTCGCTGTCTCGAGTGATTGAGGCTGCTCGACCAGCGTTTTCCATCTAACGAAAAGCCGGCTACCGGATAGCAGTGTTTTCCAGTTGAAATAAACACGATCCTCTCACTTAATCCTGAAAGCGTTCGATTATTCACACGAATCTCGAAGGCTGCTTCAGCCCGTGGTGACCGTGCAAATACGACAGGGTCTGCGCTGCGGCGGCGATCTCATCTTCTCTGGAGATGCATTTTTATCTTTCAAATGCTCTGGAAGCAGTATTAGTGCTATTTGCCATTTCTTTATTAGGCAGAAAGATACGGAAGTGGAGGCTCTACGTAAACATTTCGTAGGTGGCGTAGGTCCTCCTGCGCACCTGCGTGCATGTCGGTTGAACACAAGCTCGTCATCCATAAAACCATCCACTTTTCATTGATTAGCCAAATAATGCGTTCCACCACTGCAATTGCATTTGGGTTCCCAAAAGAGATATATGCTCCTTTGGTTCTCTAGTGCGAGTGTGGAGAGCCCTTATCCGTGTCCCTTCACGATGGGCTGGAATCTGCACAAACACGTCGGCGAGAACAAATGACAAGAGTCGTTTCTTTTGCCTGATTGGGAAGCTCCTCTATCCCTGGAGGCGGAAACGTTCGCTCCACCGTGATTATGGCAAGATGCTTGAAATCAACGCAGATAAGCTGTCGTAATTCCGTTATTTTTCGCCAACAACGGCGGGTTCAAACGCCTTTGTTGACAGTTCAACTTTGCCTTTATTTATTTACTCCGCTTGCAGGTTGACTACCTGTTCAATATTCCGGAGTCCCATGCGTACTTCGGAAGGCATGAGACTCCGGAATATTGAACAGGTAGTCAACCTGCGTGGGAGTTCGTTCTCATTCGGCACATCCATGAACTTTGCCTTTTCCCGCACTCAGATTCGGTGTTTCCCGAGTGTTGACTGCACCGAATATCCCCAAAGTAAAGCCTACGTTGGACCATCAGGACGGAAGGTAAGGGTCGTCGTTGTCGGTGGCGCCACTGCGTCGCTTTAAAAGGAACAGTGTTGCTTACCCTTTCGGACAGCGATTCCATCCCTCTATCAGGGTGTAACAGCGACGAGGAGAGCTTAAGACTGCATTCCGATATTGTTTTTCACACACAAGCCTCAATAGTCTCTGCTGGAGGCTGGGTTCCGCCCTTCTCTAGCAAACCATACTTGCACTGAAAACTTATATTCGGTCTGCGCCAGTTGATTGCCCCCTCAAAAACCATGTTGGTAGGTATGGGCCACAACTTTGCGTCTGTAGTTGCGGAGACACCTGCCTCTTTCAGTGTGGGTACTGTAATTTCGATCGAAGAACGCTGCATTGCCCGCCCAGACGACGCCGTTTCAACGTAGGCATTCTCGACTGCTCGGTGGCACGTCAGAAACAAGTGAAAGCAGCTACAATTAATCCCCACACGAACAACCGCCTCCACCACCCGAGTCCCCACAATGCAATGTGAACATCCCTGCGCTTAAAAGGGACTGCGCGTGCGTCGTGCCAGACAAACGGGCGGCAAACAATTCACCAGTTCGCCTAGATTTGAGTCAAAAATGCAGATAAATTAAAGTATTAAAGGTGTCACACAACTGCTAGCCAGTTTACGCCAGAAAAACACTGAAGGGAGCTGGTGCTAGCAGACGGCCACAAGTCCTAGCATGTCCACCAGTCTCGCTGTTCTGCGCACGAGATCAAGAGCGCACCCGGATTCTTGATGTCTTGAGTCTTGTCTCAGCGATGTGAAGCCCTTTTTAATCATCAGTTGAAGCAATTAATAAGTATTTGCGGATATCAGGTGTTCTCCCGCCATCTCTGTAAAGGGCGACGCCGCTGGCAAGTACTGAATCACTCACTGTCGGCAGGCAGAGGTTCTCTTGTGTAGAAACTTCTACAGCTGGTTCGGTGCTGTCTTACAGGTATTTATTCCAGCCTATCTTGACTACCGAGAAGTGCAAGCTTCTTCTTGGTCCTCCAATGTTTTCCAGCTTAGGCGCTGCCTTGTCGGGGGATGGCGACGCATGGGATGTATCGGCACTCAACCATCTCGACTCCTCTGCATCGGGGCGAAGCCCTGTACGTAGTTTCCCTCCAAAGGCATTGCGTGTTCATCCATGCATATCCGTTCTTCTAGCAGGCTTGGCCTCCGTTGCAGCAGTCACCATGCTAATATCCCTCTGTAGTGCGAGCCAGAGGAGGTTGGCTTCGAAGGGCCTCCATACCCGCCAGCTTTCAGATGAAGGCAATTCCAGCTCTAATCTTACCCCGCAGTGTGTTGTTTATTCGAGATCAAGTAGTATGTCAGTTTCGCCTCCTCAGAGGAAACTGCCGCTGAAAAAGCGGAAGCTGCCGGTGGCAGAGGGCACGGCGTTGGGCATAGGAGAAGAAGAGTGGATCAGTGGTCCTTCAGGCTCCCCAACCCCAGTCTCATCGAATTCGCTACTTCGGGAACTTCCTCCAAGACCATCGGAAGCTCCTGATTTGCTCCACGGCATGCAGCGAATTGCTGACCAGAACACGCGATATCCTACTCCACCACCGATAAGCCGGAAAACATGGCTAGACGCAGGATGCAGTGGCGTCGACCATGTAGGCATCCGGATGTATCCCAGCTTTCCATGCTCTAGTTCATCGCTGTCGATGCTCGAAACGATTCCGGGGACGCCATCAGGCACTCCGGAACTTCCATCATTATCTGCCACTCTTCTGCTACCGGAGGGATTTCCGATTCCACAGACACCCATATTTAGGGGAGTATCGGAAGTGGGGGCAGGTTATGGCCAATATATCCAGCAAACATCTCTAGGCTCCTCGGGCCCAAGTAATTCGCAGTCGGCTTTTTGGACAATCCTGGGAGGGAGCGCTCGACGTTCGACTCAATCGTTATCGTCGCCCCTTGAGCAAGTGAGACACCAGCACAAGAAGGGACCATGGTCCCGATGGGATCAATGGACTAAGGAAGTGTTGCCACGGGGAGGAGGTTATGATTTACCGTGCCACAATCCTGCCGCTTCCGGCCCTAGCAAACGGCATCCAACGAGTAATGCACTGCCAACGGTTCACTTTGGAGCTTTAGCGCCGGGACCTTTTCCGTTCTTCCATCTTTTGGCAAGGCAGACAACGATACATCCACGCGTGGCCGAGGCGGGTCCTCCAGAAGAAAGATCAACGGAAACCCAAATGCAAGAACGGCTAGATCAGATTCCAAGGCCTCATGGTGTACATTCAGCAACAAGCGTGGTTACACCGGGAGATAAGATCGGAAGGGAATGCAAAAGCAACTCGGGCAGTGAAGCGGAAAATGCTCTGGAGATTAAGACGAGCTCAACAGAAGAAGATAAGCGCGAAGCTAAGCCACCTGGACCAATACAGTCCCTTCAGAGTTTAACTTCGTTTTCCCCGGATGTTTCCGGTTGGTTACCGCTAGAATTTCGTCCCACAATGGCCCTGCCTCTTGAGGATTCTGAATCTCAAGTTCACCTATTTTTCCGCCAGCCGGTACTGTATCCTCCAATAGTTTTGAGGCCATTCTGCGCAGCAGCTGCCTTCGGCTTTAGGCCTGTGCCCACAGACCCAGTCCCCCTACTGGAACAATCGCGCAGGATTCTTAGGCTGTCTATTATTACTCCTGAAGATCTCGAAAGATTAACTGCGATAGCGGAACGGCTAGTTTCGTACGCGATGGTTCATCAGACGAAACCTTTGACTAATTGCACTTACCTCCGTGCTCTTGAAGGCATGGGGCTGCGCTTTATGATTCTCGACGCGGTTCTCTGCATAGTAACGCTTACAGGGGAACAGCTTCCAAATTTTTGGTTTGGGCATTTGGCTGCCTTAATACCTGACGAAATTCCACGGTATCCACAAACAGCATCTGTGAATGAGCGAACGCGCTTCCTGGAGGAACTCTTGCAAGGTCTTTCAAGAGCCCTGCGCATCTTGAAGACTGGGAAGCGACCGAAGGCCAGGGACATTGTAATGTTGAAGCAAATGCTGTTCTGCTCAGAACAGTCTCATCGACTTTTTCGGAGCAGTGCATTTGACGGTTGGAGAACTGACGAGAGAATTGCACACTGCGTGCATGGAGGGGCGCCCAGAGGTGAACTTCAGGTCTTTCATTGCGAATAGCTATTGCTGTGTTTCTAGTTCTTGCGCTAGGTTGGTCAAACGCTAACAGTACAGGATAACGTAAAGCGGAGAAGCTATGTGGGGAGAGCGGGCAAATTAGAGATTGCTGGGGAGGGCCTCCAAACGCTGTTCGATCTTTCCAGATTGGGAAAATTCGCAGAGCAACACAGCTCTGAGCATTAGTGAGCAACAGACATGATGTATGTGTATTAGTGGCTGTTGAAGCGTGAGTAGGTAGTTGACTTGTGGTCTGGAAGGCGTACATTGGTGCAGAAGATCGTGGAGCTATAGGGGTGGTCAGCACGGAAACAAAGTTGGCGAGTAACCCCGCAGGTTCGTGCTAAGTGGAGCGCATGCCTATTAAGGACAATCCAGGGGCTATCGCGAGTTTTCGATTTTGCTGAAACAACTTGAAGCGTCTTCGCTGTGCTTCCGGGCGGATTCTGGCAGCCCGTTGGACATGTTCACTGGACATTCAATATGAGCAGAATATTTCATCCAGTTCTCGAACGTTTGAAAGCGAATGGGGGAACCTCCAATTTACGTCCTCCAGCTTGTTGCTATGCGCGCCATCGAAGTGCCCTCAGCAGGGACTACGAGGACAGGCGAGTTCGTGCATTGCCAAGGCATTCTGCTTAGTTTTGAGGGTACATGTAAGGCCGGTGGGTCGCTCGTACTAGTTGGAACTTGTATTATTAGGTGAAAATCGCCTTTGCCAGTTTTTCCAGCATCTTTGTCCTGACCAACGAAGTGCAGCGACAGCGCAGGCGCTTTTCTTTATTGGTGAGCAGTACTTTGGTGGCTAATGAATGCTAGTTGTAGCTTTCTAAGGCGTGAATAAATTGGTTTGACCGTTTACACAAACTCCCAGTAGACTTGGTGCTTGTTTT